TTTGATGTAATGTCCTTAAAACAAGTCAAAATGAGACTCAGTAGTGTGTGTGGCCTCTACGTGCCTGTATGACCTCCGTACAATGCCTAGGCATGCTCTTGATGAGGTGGCAGATGGTCTCCTGAGGGATCTCCTCCCACACCTGGACTAAAGCATCCCCCAACTCCCTGGACAGTCTGTGGTGCAACGTGGCGTTGGTGGATGGAGTGAGACATGATGTCCCAGATGTGCTCAATTGGATTTAGGTCTGGGGAATGGACGGGCCAGTCCATAGCATCAATGCCTTCGTCTTGCAGGAACTGCTGACACACTCCAGCCACATGAGGTCTATCATTGTCTTGCATTAGGAGGAACCCAGGGCCAACCGCACCAGCATATGGTCTCACAAGGGGTCTCAGGATCTCATCTTGGTACCTAATGGCAGTCAGGCTACCTCTGGTGAGCACATGGAGGGCTGTGCGGCCCCCTAAAAAATTCCACCTCACACCATTACTGATCCAGTGCCAAACTGGTCATGCTGGAGGATGTTGCAGGAAGCAGAACGTTCTCCACGCCGTCTCCAGACCCTGTCACATGTCACATGTGCTCAGTGTGAACCTGCTTTCATCTGTGAAGAGCACAGGGCGCCAGTGGCGAATTTGCCAATATTGGTGTTCTCTGGCAAATGCCAAACGTCCTGCAGTGTTCGGCTGTAAGCAAAACCCCCACCTGTGGACGTCGGGCCCTCCTACCACCCTCATGGAGTCTGTTTCTGACCGTTTGAGCAGCCACATGCACATTTGTGGCCCGCTGGAGGTCATTTTGCAGGGCTCTGGCAGTGCTCCTCCTGTTCCTCCTTGCACAAAGGCTCTGGACACTATGCTGACAGACATAGCAAACCTTCTTGTCACAGCTCGCTTTGATGTGCCATCCTGGATGAGCTGCACTACCTGAGCCACTTGTGTGGGTTGTAGACTCTGTCTCATGCTACCACTAGAGTGAAAGCACCGCCAGCATTCAAAAGTGACCAAACCATCAGCCAGAAAGCATAGGAACTGAGAAGTGATCTGTGGTTACCACCTGCAGAAACTCGTTATTTAAAACCTAGTCCACGCTGATTCCTCACTGATGCTTATTCCTGATATAATGATGCAAGAGTAAAAATAAAAGTATGCCATCCTATTCCAAAGTGTAGCCCTGGGATGGAAACTCCAATGGAAAATGATGCCTCATATTTATCCATGCCAACAGTTTAATACATATTGCTCAATAACACTGAACTAGACCATTTTCTGGTACTGAGAAGAATGCCTATATTTCATAAAGGCATGAAAAGGAAACGGAAAATAGAAGTTATTCTGAGGCTGTATTATGCAGAAAATTTCAGCAAGTAATCTTTATTTGAAACAGATTCTGGCTATGAAATTTAAGATGTATTTCCTGTTCACTACATAGAAAGTTCCAGCTGCTAGAAAAACTATTCAGTACCTTATATATTTTTTTTTCATTCAATTTTATGATATAGTTTCAAAAAAAGCCAGATTTTTTTTCCAGCCCTTAAAAGTTAAGGCAGTTGAAAATGTTATATGAACCTATTAATTTGCAACTGAGATTGTGTATTATCAGTGTTTCACAGGAAAATCAATCACTGAATAGATTTAGAACTATTTTAAAACAATTGTTATGGCTGAGAAGTAGCATGTGCCAAATCCAGTGTCATCTTCTATACAGTAATGCAGAAGTAATGCAGAATAGTAATGCAGAAGGAATTTGTATATTACAAAATATGCAATATTAAGGATATTTTTTTCTTTTTGCCTCATGAGTTTTACAAAAACTAGACAGAAATCTCTTGGAGGAGGCATGATTAAATCCTTCCAGATGGTTTGAACTCCACCCTTTTACATGGATATGCTTCTTTATCTTTTAGTAACCAGTAAAAAGTTGCAGTCTAAGTATTGTAGTGCAGCATCCCTGACCCTATCAGATTACAATGGTACTTCAGTATGTCACTGCTTCAAAGCCCATCAAATTTGGTGTTCAGTGCATTTTGATGCAAAAATGTTGTCCAGAATTCATTGTTTGTTTGGTGCTCAATGCACTGCAATAGGAAAAGGGGGACAGCTGCAAAGAATGGACAGGAAGTCAACCATACTGGGAAGATTGTTGACGAAGTCCAGCTGCGCCTTTTCAAAAAGCATCTCTGGGACAACCATGACCCAGATAATTGAGAATCTCTACAATCAGAGAACCAAGGTACAGCTCAGAATGAGGGCAGATTGCAAAATGACTTGAGGATTTGTCACCTGTGGTAAGTATTGATGGCTGGATATTGAGATCACTCTCAGTGTTCCCACCACCCCTGAGAGTGGCCTACCTTCAGTTTCTCACCATAGCTACCCTACCCATCAGAATCCCAGCACTGCTCTCTTTCTTTACCAATTCCCATCCCCAGTTCTTGCATTCAGGTCAGAACACTGGCATCCTTTCTTAATTACCATCTATCACACAAACACAAAACATTTATACCCCCAAACTGTAGCCTCCCAGCCTCTTCCAAAGTTCTACCCATACCGAATCCCCCCCCCACACTTCCTTTCTAGGTGATAAGGCAATTATATACCCAGACAAACAGTAATTTGGGAAGTTCTCCTAGCAGAGAGGCCCAACAGAGAGACACTCAGATTCCAGTCCACTTATCATTCAGTATAGAGGTATACAAGAAAATAAATACTTTGAATTCCTTTCCAGAAAATTATACATGAAATACAACACAGTGGCCTTCAACAGAAATGGGTATTCGCCAGCTTGGGAGGCAATTTTTTAAAAATATTTCTAAAAATATTTTGTTGGGCAAATTGAGTACTCATTAGAACAGAAAGGGAGAATACAAATCAAATCAATAATTAAAGTTAAATTTTTGATGGCATATGAAGAATTGAGTCTCACTATCCCCTGCAGCCTCTCCTGGACATTATCCTCGACATTATCTCCTGGACATTATAAAAATCCTCAAGAGAAAAAAAAACTACCTTGAAAATGTTCTATCTTGCAGATTTGTAGTTGCAGAAATTTTTTAGCACACTATAACTGGCTAAAATTCATCCTGATCTGGTCCTTAAGTTTAATTTATTAAAGCAGAAATAATATTCAACTTTTTAAAACTCTTGACCAAATAAAATAAAGGGTGGTAAATGACATAATGAGATTCAATCATAAAAGAAGCCAAGAATACAACTGAGATGTCTACCATCAAGAGAAGTATGAATACAAAGGGCAGTATAACCAACAGTCATGTTCAAAAGGAGTCTGTTTGTGGATGAATCCTGACAAAAACAAAATTGTAGAAGCCAGAGGACAGGGAGCATATGAAGAAACTGAAGAGACTAGAGTAAGAGAGAGGAATCATTTTGGATAGAATATGGAAGTAGAAAAGAAAAACAGATATTTGAAAGTTGTTCTAGATTTCATCAACTTCTTATTCAGAAAACATTAGATCATGAGGAGGAAGAGAATTAAGCTACATGTGAAAAAAGGAAACAGTGAAGACACAGGCATAATAACTACCAAGACCCTCCCACCTTGCACAATTATTTGCTACTTTCCATATTCAAAGCAAAATGTTATATGAAATACACACATTTATGTTGAAAGAGCTGCAAAATTCTGCCTCTCCCCAATGGAGAATCCTGGTTAACCTTATATAAAACGTACTTAACAAAAATATCATTTTGGTTAAGACAAAAATCACTCGTATTAATAATTGTTAGATTTTAAACAAATATTTCCAATAGAGTTCATGATAATTTATTCAAAAAGCAAGAGAAAATACAGTTGAATGTCATGCAACACATCAGACGAAGAAATATGATTAGGATTGTTGTACTAATTACAGTATAGTTTAGCCTATACAAAAAGAGGTTATACAAAGAAAATAAATATTTTGAATTCCTTTCCAGAAAATTATATATTTTAGATTTGATATGCTTTAAAAGGACATTGAAGTATTATTTAGAATTCACAAAAGAACCACTTCTTTTAAATTTGCTAAGCAAAACACAATTTCACAGTTTTACTACAGAAGATTTCTATGGAGTATGCTGATCTTTTATTCAATTAACAAAACATTGGTTTGGTAAACATTTGTGAGCAGCTAGCAATTTTTCATTTTTTACCTGGAGTGCACAAATTATTTAAAAGAGGGCAAGTTTGGCACTTTTATACTGATGTCACCAATATTAATATTTCTTGGGATCTCAGGAAGATTCATATTCTTTACAGCTGACACAGCCCGGGCTGGGGCTCCTGCTAAACCAGCCTGTATACAGAAGAAAAAGATACCACTAAGATGGCGTCCATTACAATTAACAGTGAAGCATTACAATAAATTATAAAGACACAAATATTAAATATTAGAAAAACCAGGTGATATTTTGGATTGGAATGAAATGGAAAATTCTGAAATAGTCATCTGGAAAGGGGAAGTGGAAGCAGTTCACACAAAATCTAAAATATGGTTAATATGTGCAATGGCAACAATGAAAAATTAACATGTCTGTAAAATAATCAGTTTGAGGTTAATTAACATTAAAGCTCATGCTAGCTTTGATTTTTACTGTTTCTAGGTATTGCACCATATACAGTAAATAACTTGGGCCAGTTTTCTAATCCTTGCAAATGGTAAAATTGATAATTATTCAGTAATGATAACATTCTTACAATATTAGATTTTAATCAAATTTTCAACATTATACAAAAATAAATTTTTCACATGATTTTAACCAGCTGGGTGTTTAGCTTCAAGGTTAAAAAAAAACCACTAATTTGATCTAAATCTGTTCTAAGTACGTTTAGAAATATGGATGCTAAACCATGATCTAATGAAATCCCTCACGCATGGTGCTATCCTTTGCAAACTGCAGATATGTATAGCAAATTATTCCTGAACAAAACCTTACTAGAACCACAATCAAAATTAGGTCATTTTTCCCCATGCAGGAAAATAAAATTATTTTCTACATAAAGTACGATTAATTTTAAAGGATGTTGTTTCAATTCAAATTCATTTTATTATTTCATCTAATACTTAGGCTTTAAGCCTTTGTTTTACTGTAAGAGGTAATATAAAAATAGTAGTGCTATAGTATAAAGCTGTTGTATACTGTTATCAGAATTCCTCAAATATTTGCAAGAGAACACTTCAAAATTGAATACATACTAAAACAAAATAAATGAAACTTTCCAAAGATGTTTAACAATTTGAAATTCCAAATACCATCTGACTATATTTATACATATTTTTACAATATTGAGATAATTATAAGGTATTTTAATATTGAGACATTACATGCCCTGGACTAACTGATATGAATAGTAAAGTACTCACAATTCATGTCTTTTATGACATTAAGCCTTTCTACATTTGCTTGGAACTTTGACATTCTGACACATAGAAAATCTTTCTTAGACTCCAAAAGCAGCTTTAGTTAGGGCTTTCTAGAAAAAAGCACTACTGTTTGTTGTCTATGATTAACACTTGCTAATATATTTCACTACCATTTTTTAAATAAATGCTCCCTGGCAAAAAATTTAATTTACAATGTATATCACACTTGCATATGACTTCTATCTATGCATCTATGCATCTGATTATTTCATTTCACAGCATTTACTTACTTTAAATATAAGTAATCTAAATTTATTTTGGATCAATCTTTTCTTTTTATGAAGAAAAAAAATGAAATGCTAACACATCATAACATTGTTATAACCATGTTTGCGTGAACATAAGACATGCCAAGTTCAATTAAATATTCCTAGGATTTGGGCCATTAATTCAGAATTTTTCATTAGCTGCCATTAATTTTTTTCTCCAAAAGTTCAGTTTGGTCAAGAATATTTAATCTTAACAGTATTTGCAAAATTAATAAACAGGATTATTGAGCAATACGTTTAAATAGAGGTTAACATAATCTTGTGTAGAAAAACATAATTGCCGTTTTCCCAGGAAAATGCAATATCTGCTTTTTCAACAGCTGGAACTTCCAATTTTGTATTTTTGCAAGCAAGTGAAAAGCTCACCAGTGTCAAGCATACAAATATTTCCCTTTAATATCCACCCCATTTTTAATAGTTTTAGTAGACCTAAAACAATTTGATATTCCTTCACAGTGCAAAATAACATTGTTTGTAAAGATTCTTTGAACATTTTGTTTCTTAGTGCGTTTCCAAATACCAGAGAACTGTTTTGTTTTTTAAAGTAGACCTAAAACAATTTGATATTCCTTCACAGTGCAAAATAACATTGTTTTATAAAGATTCTTTAAACATTTTGTTTCTCTCGGTGCATTTCCAAATACCAGAGAACTGTTTTGTTTTGTTTTTAAAGGAAAAATAGTTTACACTCATTCTGGCACATACTTTCTTTAAGCAAGGAAAATGTGTGCATCTATATCTACTTAAATAAAACATATTTAGAAATAGTTCGTATGAACTAGGATTCCTGTCAGATATTAAAGATATTGATAGACAACATTAAATAGGATTTCCATGGCAAGAATTTGGTAGGTAGGTATTACTATAAATGGGGCAAACCACTTCAATTTTAGTTCACTGAACTGACAGCTGCCTTTATCCACCACCACAAATTAAAGTATGAACTAAAAATCACACTATACTTCTAAGACATAGTGAACTGTTCTGGAGTTATAATTACAGTAAGCAAAAAATCTACCAATGATGCATAGCTATAGGCAATTGTGTTACACATGCATTTCTTTTCATGGGCCCATCCAATTAACATGGAAAGAAATAAAAGAGATGAGGAATATAACATTAAAAAAACCCAATCTTCTTCCATCACCCAGCTCATGATTATCGACTCCCTTTCTAGCTAAGTTCTATTTTGAGAGCTAGAAAGAAAGACAAAAAGTTATAGCAATTGACAAAGGGATTCAACATTCCTCATCTTAGCAGTTGAACTTGAATGCATCATTTAGTCATTTTCTTACATGTATTAGAAAAGTTATAAAATATTCCATGGAGTTTCACAAATTACATCATAAACAAGTTTCTGATGGGCACATTTTTGTGATTCTAATTACCCAATAAGTAAAAACCAATCTGAATCTTAAACCTAAGGCATTGCTGATGATCTCATTATGAGCACAAATGTTCCAGCATGCCCACATGGTATTAGAAATACAGTGTGAATTTATATATAGCTAAAATTACAACTAATCAAATGACATTTGCCCAGCTGCTTTGTAATCTCAACTTAAATAACCACAAAAGTTTGATTTGTACTTCAAAATTCAATGGTAACTGAAAGACATAGGGTTGATTCTATAACAATATTCCCAGTAAGGGCATGGACAAGGGGTGACTGATTTCCTTTCCTATTCTTTGAAAACGTTCACAGATGATAGCTTCTTAGTTTTGGCAAGATTCTTCCATTTATTTAGCTAATCAATCATCAGCATGATCTCTAACCCAATCAAACAGGAAGATTCCCCCAGGCGTCAAAAGTGTGTCTTTTCAGAGCTTAATTATGAAATGAGAGCTGAGAAAGTCACCTCTTGTCTCTTTGACTTTTACTGATATTTGTCTGAATCAAAACTATAACAAGTTGCCTTCAGTGATGCTTGTAATCACAAATTACAGACTGAGCACTCTTCCATGTTAAAAAGGCAGCACTAGTAATAATACATTTAACTCAGTAACACATGTGGGAAAGTCTTTCTAATTACAAAAACTGACATTTAGCAATGCAAAGCATATTTTAGATTCTTTTCAGGACACTATTTAGTAATATGGAAGTTGTATATTGTATTTCTTTTTTATACAGCACATTACATTGACACATAAGTGCTTAGCTTTATTGTTTGCTTAAATCATAATTATCCTCCAAATGACAGAATTGTAACAACTCTATTCCAAGTTTTTTTTACAAGATAAATGGATAGATCAACCTCCCAAGTGTTTGTGCTTGTTAAAAAAAGGCAGATCCTTTTATATGCACTATTTTTTAAATTCATTTCTCCAACATATTTTATGGTAGATATTATAACTGTTCATGTTTTCTATCAACCCTTCTTCCCAGAACAAGTATGATTCAAAGCAGCAGGGTTATGAATAAGATGGAAGGATGCAGTACAGAATATAAAAGTATGATTATGTTCTCTTCTCATGAGGTTAAATAAATGAACAGAATTAGAGAAAAAACAAAATGAAGTCTGCAAGTATATCAAAATGCCAAACAGATAGAACACTTACACATACTCTTAGAAATTTCAAGCACTTGGATCACAGCGATAGTAATGGATGGACATGAATTTTTTAAAAAATTTGATTTATCTCCTTTTAAGTTGCCAGACCCAAAAATAAAAACAGAATGCATATAAGCAAAAAAATAAAAGAGCAATATTACATAAAAATAAAGAAAGAACTCTTATCTTGAAGAATATATTTACAGAATAAAAAATGGACTGGTTGGAACACTCTTAACTATACTTTATTTATCGGAGGATCTAAAAGTGTATTTTAATTTTGGGCACTTTTAGCATGAACATGGGATATTGTGAAGCATACAAACTTTAATTGAGAATAGATACCTAGTTACATGATTTTTTTATGATCATAGGAGAAAATTATACAAAAATGTTTAGCTATTAAATGATATATAACATTTTCCTACAAAGAGTGATATAAATAAATATACTGTTTTAGGATTTTATATGCTACTGATTAAGATTATATCTGGCAATTAGCATGGACTGAGCTTTAAATGCTTTCTTATTTCAGCATTCTCTCATTTGTTAGCAAATGTGATAAAACTTCCTTAGGAACAACTAGCCATAGTAAATCTTAACCAAATCAAAATGTATTGTCACTAATTTCTCAAAGCCCTAAAATGTTTTTCTCTTTTAAATATTATTCTTGTATTTAATTTCTTCAGATTTTGATTTTCAAAATGGATATCTAATTTACAATATTCATTGTTAAATAGTATTTATATTTTTCTAACAAAAGTTCTCAAAGAGAAAAAGAGCTTATGTAAAAACAGTATTTAAACCACAGTTGTTACTATGGCTGTCTAGTTAGATACATATAATTATTATTGGAGCTATCGAATTGTGTACATGTGTAATGCAACATAGAAGCTTTATATAGGAGCAGATATTGAGAGGGCTTGAAGGATGCTAATTGCATTTTGTCACATTAATGGTAATGGCTTAAAAATACAAAATTCACTTCAAAGCCATTACCTGCTATAAATTCCCTAGCATTATTGTGTACTTTTAAAAATTGGGAGAAAATTTTTTTTTACCACCAACCCTAACATAGAACATCCTGTGAAAACTGAGGATTTTAGCTTTAAAACAAATCTAATTCTCCACATCTTTTTTGCTATAATCCAATGCAAAACCTTATAAATTGCTCCTATTAGGGCGAGTCCCTGGAAAAGAGGTGGTGGCGGTAGGGATGGGGCAAAGAAATAAAATGTTTATTCATAGAATGAATTTAGATGTCTTTCATTTGAACAAGGGGACCATTATATTCAATTCTTCAAAAATATTTATGTCTAACAATTAATCTTAAAATTTAAAATCTAACGTGCATTCTCAGTAAGGATTAGAAATATCAACAGTTCTAAATAAATATTAAAGTATCGATGGTGACTAACATTTGATGAACTTCCACAATTTTTCCCTTCTAGAATATGAATTCTCAATGGCTGGCCTCAGTTTTAAGTGATATATTAAAGGTATTAAAATTATAGTAAAGGATAGCCAAAGCTTCTATTCATCCAGGATTTGAAATCAGCTTAAAATTTTATTTTCACATCTTTATTTTTTTTTTAAGAACAGATATAGTCTAACGGATATTAATCTAATTATAGACATAATATATAATTATGGTTAAGACAGATGCTTGGATATTCTAGAAAGAAACAAAAGGCATGGAAGAATAGAGTGGACATGACAGCTTTCTGATTTCTGACTAGCTGATTATAATCAAGCAATTGGGAACACCATATCTATACCAAATTAATTAGATGTTAAATTGTTAATGATAAGGGCATACAAATGATAAAATTACATTTGAAAGATAAAAATTCGAAAGCTGAACACTAATGGAAGGAGAAAACAAAAGTAAAAATATATGAAGTTAATGACAATCTATTAAATACACTACAGCAATAAAAGATGAAGGAAACCAGCACAAAAAGTGGGCTACAAAGACTAATATGGGTTTATCAACACATAATTTTTGAGTCTGGCCTAATTTATCAATTGCCTTTGACATCATTTTGCTTTCCCTTATTTTAAAGCAGCACATTTTTTTCTGAAAATTAGCAATACCTGTATCTACCTGTCCTGTCTGGGAGACTGAAAGATAAAGGTCTGTAAAGAGAAGAATGGAAAGAACTAGAAAAGATCAGGTGGTTTGAAAAAATGAGGACTGACTTAAAACGACCAAATTCACACCCAGCTGAAGACTACAGAAAAAAACACAAGAATATCGGTTCTTCCAGGGAACACCTTCCATGTCACTGATAGTGCCTGACACTTATCCCAAATCTTCCCTTTTATTAAAGTCTAAAGCTTTATTAATTTGGCTTATTTTTCTTTTGCAAAAAGGGTATCAAAAATGGACAAGTAAATTATCTTGTTAAGAGAAGCAAAAAATACTTCTGCTGTTGACATATGTTGGGAAAGCAAGACCTTCATTTCTTTGTAAACAGTTGTCTACCCATTTATTTTAAAGCAAGGCCATTCCCTTTGAACAAATTATCTAGGATTATTAGCTAGATTATGAAGTGAAGCCCAGCTGTCTAAAAGTGTAGCAAAAGTGACACTGCTGTTGAATGTATTTGAAAAAATGGCATTTGAGTATCAACTAGAAATAATAGGGTCATGACTTGGTTTCAAAGACCCACATGCAGTATTTTGTACATATATCAGGGCTCAACTCAATCCCAAAAAGTCATTCCACTTACACTTCAGGATAGTATACAGTGCAGTTGTGGAATAGGGAAGGAATCAGTAACATGCACACATAGTGTGCAAGCAGAAGGGGTATTTTGGATCAAAGGCCAAAGATTAGGATTAGGAGAGGGCACAAAAACAACAGTATCTTATCCAAAGTAAATACCAAGGAGGTGCTAAAGGTTTCTTTTACTTCATTCAGATATTATATTGCCTTTTTTTCATTATTGATTTATTGTGCTCTGTAATAAGCACTGATAGAAAGTAAAAGTAGTGAAGTACCTGTCAAGTATTTGCATACACAGAAAACAATTAATCATTCAGTGAGGCAACAGAAATTAAGATTAACCTGGCCACTATACTGAAATACTTCATTATTTAAAACTTAAAACATAATTTAATAAATAGGAACATATTTATATTTACTAAAACTGCACTTCAAAAAAGAATGAAGAGCTCATTTATCTCTTGAACCACTCAAAGAAATTACTGTATATTTAGACAAGTCTGATTCCAATTTTATTATATCTTTATTAAGTTTTTGCCACAGCATATAACCTCATAGCATAGGTATGCAAATTTCTGTGCTTCTCAGTCAGTGCTGCACAGCTCTTTAGCTAGAAAATTGCTCAAATAAAAATACTGATAAAAATGCAACCAAATGTTGAATAGAGATTTGATGAATTTTCAAAGCAAATTTACTTGAAAATAGTTTATCAATTGGAATACCTTTTTTATATGTAGCATGTATGATATATATTTTAATTATTAAGAGATAGAAAATACTGTACATGTCATACCTATTTATATATCACAATATTTATGTATCTGTTTCTATATTACAAATTTACCCAAAAGGAAGTCAACCCGGGGTCAATCTAATTGAAACTAATCCTGGAGATTGTCTACCTCCCTACTGCCCCATTAAATATTTACATATAACACATATATTTGTTTTTCTCTTTCTCTTTCTCTTTCTCTCTCTCCTTCAGTATATAAAATTGATAGATACCTGCATATGCATATATATGCATATGCTTTCTCTCTCACACATAACACACGTCCTTCTTTCTTTCCAGCAGAAATAGCAAATAAAGTAGCAGAAATGCAAATAAAAGAAAGTGCAAGACAAGACAGAATGTAGAGGAAGCAATGGAAAGCAGCTGAACCAGGGAAAGAAAGAAAAACACAATTTACAGAAAACTCATCTGATATTTTGCACTGTGCTCAGCAAGCACAAATCTTGTGCATGCTTATTCTGTAGGGAGTGAAACTCAAACCAATATTTACTCTCAAACAGGAAAACAGGACTTTTAAAAATCAGTATGAAATCCAGTAACACTCTATTTCTTTTTAGTAGCTTCCACAGCAAACTGTGATAATGCCACAATCATGATTTACACACACTGACATCAGATAAATAGCACAACCATCCTTGATGTCAGGGCACGTACATAAGTTGCAGCATTTGTATGATGATGACATCATGTTTGTTTTGTCATTTATCTCCTCCTCCCCGCCACCCACATTTTTGCACAAGATATGGGAAGGCATGCTAGCTGTTTCATCCTCTTGCCCTGCACTAGAGATGAGTTGCCATAGCAAGATAAAAGGAAGAAAGAATTCAAACCATCCATTATGCCTGCCTTACCAAGAGTCAGGAGAGAATAAAAATGTTCCAAGACCACAATTAGAAAGTAGCTTGCCTAAAGCTGACCTTGACTAGTTTAAGTAGCTGGCATTGTAGATGGAAAACATTCATGGACTCTGCATTTTTCTGAAGATAGGCAAAAGCAGTGGATGCCAGCTTTTCTCAATCTCCTGCCTCTCTGTTCTAGCAATTCCCTTGGATTATTTGCAGACCGCTGCCTAGTTTCTTCCTTTTGGGTAAATATGGTGTAAAACTAGGTCAAATTAGAAAATAAGGCTTAATCAAAAGTGTTTGTCACTGAAACTCAGATATCTGCAATCTTGGCAGGTTTTCTTTTGCAAGCAAATAGCCATGACAGAGCAGGAAGAGAAACATAGTTCTGGGGCAGATGGAAAGCTTCTCTCCACAGGGTTGCTAAAGAGTAAATAAAGTTACTGAGAGGCAAAAGAATAGAAAATTTATTTAATGTTTCATTTACTTTGATATTAGGAGTTTATGATGTTATGGTTCTTTTGATATGTCCATTTTGTGGAAAGAAAATCAGTAGTTTTATTGATTATTTAACAAATGTTTTTACTTAGCTCTATATTGCACTATTCTTCAAAAAATTGAAAGTAATGCTATGATAACACGACATTTATCATTTTTAGGATTAGTTAAGGTTTTTAATTGTGTGTTCAATTTTTTTTAGATGCACATGCTCATCTTATTAACATTTTTAATTTGTTAATAATATACCATTTAACAAAGCACTCTAAATAGGGTTTTCTCTTTTTTTTTTTGCTCTGAAGGCTTATCTGGAACATAGAGAACATATTATGGGCACTTTCAAAAGTGACCTGTCAAAGCTTTTTCAGATTTGGCTTTAAGATGTAAACTTCAACTCCCAGAATTCCCCAACTAGTGCTAGCTGGGGAATTGTGGAAGTTGAAGTCCACTGGTCTTAAAGTTGCCAAATTTGAAAAACACTGGTCTGAACTATTCTAAGACTAAATTTAGCAGAAGTTAAGATATTTTAGGCTGCTTTTTGCCACACTTTTTAGCTTCTGAAGATTAAACAAAACATACTTCCAAACAAAGAAAATGGTTGGTGTTTTACAACATGCTAGCTTCTCATTTATTCTTTTAATTAAATGTATCTAAAAACATTAATATCAAATTGTGTACGGCACAACAAAAATGTGGTACACAACAAAAATGTATCTACAAGTACACTATGATTATCATGGTTATTATGGTTATCATCATTTTAAACAAGCTTTAAGAGTCAAAAGCCTTGACTGAAGGAAGCTCAGAAATATTTCTATAGATAAATAAATGCAAATGGGAATCTGATAGAATAAAAATGAAATGTTCAGCTATTTAAACATTCAACAAAGGCTTTATCATGCCACATTCTAAATGCTAATTTGTAGCAATCAAAATAGCCAAGTATTAACAAGTAGATGACTACTTTGGATCATGCAACTGTATGATCATGCTCCAACTGGCTTTACCATCTTTCATTCTTACCTCAGATTTTTCCAGTTTATTTTGAGCATCAATCTGGGTGACTATTTCATTCATGTTGGTCTCCAAAACCATTCCACCCATCACCATTTCAGCCAGGATATTATGAACCTAAAAAGAACATCCAATAAACAATGGTTGCATAGATTATATCAATCCATCAATAATACAGTTGTATTTTATTATGTTTTTTAAAAGTATGATTATCTTAACATAAATCAACTTTTCCAATATAATATTTGTAATAGATTAAATATACATTCCTTTCATCAGATGTACAAGTACAGTGTAGTATCAAGAATATTCAAATTCATATCCACACTTGCCTATGAAAAATCATTGGATGACTTTGGGACAGCCACTTGAAATCAACCTAACCTACCTCATTGATTGCTGATGTGAGAGGTAGGGGGAATAGAGGAGTATTATACATACCTCTTTGAATTCCTAGAAGAAAAGTGGAATATAAATCTAATGAAAAGAATTTTACTGAAATCTAAACTTCTGATTGCTACATCAAGTAACATAGATTTTTTAAAAAATTATATTCAAGTTTGTCAAGTTTCCATACCATGTGCTAAACATTTGACCAGTACAGGCAAAATAAAATGAGGGATACTACAAACATCCTTTTAAAATATTTTGATGCAATTCAAGGAACATTTGTTTATGTAGGGGTAGATAAAAACCAT